TTAACTGCAAATTCATGGTATTGAAATTCATAGTGAAAGCCCCCTAGATGGGCTCTGCATTTTCATGGTGTTTTCACGTGACCTCAAGGTGTCGGCAAGGGGTCATATCCGGGATTATTTTCACGATGTTTTCACCACGTGAACTGCTATGAAGTTCGGCAGTGAAAAAACAATTTCACAGTGAAACTGCAAATTAACTGCAAATTCATGGTGCTGAAATTCATAGTGTCATATCGCAGAACTAAACTGTACATGTACTTCAGTTACTGTACATTTTTGCACAAAAAACCAAATATGTGAAACACAGCGAAAGTTTGCTTTCAATCCTGTCATTTATTTCTGTCATTTTTCTACCTACATACATGTAGGTGAGTACATACATGCAAGTGAGAAAGCATGTACATACATGTACATGTACATGTACATGTACATACTGTACATGTACAGTGCACACATTCTGTATATGTTGTGTCACCCAGTGTACTGGTACGTGTACACGTCTTTGCAAGTCAAGGTGAAATTCCTAGTAGCCAATACTGTACCACAGATTATACATGTATGTAGCCCAACAAAGCTTGCTGGGAAACTATTCAATTTGTTGCAAATACATACATGTACGCGTATACCGGGTACCAGTGCATGACAACTTCATTTTGTACATGTACACCTCGCTTGTTTGGATAATATGCCAATGTGTGTAAAAATAGTGTTAATAATAATAATAACTTATTCATTTATAAAGCGCAAATTTCATATAGATACCGGTATGTTCAAATGTGTTGTACAATGAAAGACATTGAAATCGGCGGATTTGGGACTGTTAGGGTTAAGTGTGGAATAATGAATACACTTAAACATGGTTGAGCCGATGGCATACAAGGGCACCTCGGGCAGCTGCCAAGTGACCCACATTCACCAACATCAGTAAAGGGGAGACAGTAAGAAGCAGTTGCATTTTTAGAGGTGGGAGGTAAACCCCAGAGGAATAGTCTGGGTAAAACCCACGGAGTCAGGTAGGGACTGATAACCCAATCCACATATGGACCAGGCTGGGAATCGAACCCGGGACCACAGAGGTGGAAGGCGAGGAAAGAACTACCTTGCCAACCCGACTCCCCAACCCGACTAGTGTTTAATATTACATGTATGTAATGAGTAGAGCTAACCCAACTGCAGCTCAAGTTTGACTTCAATACAATGATCCACGGTAGATACAAGAATCACAGCAAAGTAGAAAGAAAAATGTCCAATCAAAATCAACTGCTATTTTTGGGCCGATTTCCTTTCCAATGGGCTAACATGAATTTCCTTCACTGTGAATTATTCCAACTGAATCAAATAAACAAGTTCATTTTTTTTTCCACAAGGGAAGTCCTTTCCCTAGGATGGGAGCCAATGCTTACTTGATGCCACCTGGTCTCCTTGACATTCACCACTCAATTTCTACCCGTGGAGCCTTGTGAAGCCTTGTACACCGTTTAAGCTGAGTATCCCACAAGGGATGACCCTGGAATGTCACATTGACTGTCGATGACAAGAGAGGATTATCTATCTGACCCTCTCACCAGGGTGGCATCTCCGGATCACATCGCTCGTGGCATCTCAATCGTCAATCCATACAGGCCAGCAGAACTACTACACAATATGCAGCCTAGTTTAACGTGCAGGTGCCCATGTTCATCCCAGTTTGACGATGTTGGGCCAGCATTTCTCCACAGTCTAGCAATGATTGATGCCGACAGTGAAGTACAGTCCACCCTGCCTACTCTATTAACAACTGCTGGGGGGGGGGAATAGGGATTACTCAGTGAGATCACAGCAGCATCCACAAGGAGCTTAAGAAATCATCTCCTGTTACCTGAAGCATCCAAATGGATACAAATATTTTCCCAAGTTCCATGCCGCAAGTTTCAGCCTATTTTGGACTAGGAGACTGCACTTCCTCTGGCCAAGGTCACGCTCCGTGCACCAGGGCTGGCATAGTCTTGATGCCAGACACCAATGTTTGTACAATGGATCATACATGTACTTACATGTACATGTAACTATGGTTCTTTACAAACAATATTTCATCATGTCTCTTCAGTGCTCTTGTTCCAAGACTGTGGGATGGTGATTCTCCAGACCGAGTCCTATGATGCAGTCTGTTCTTATGTTTGAAAAACCTGTTTCCTCTTTTCCTCTTTTCTGGTTCATTTCAGATCTTAATGAGATGCCTGTATTCAAACTTGCAACAAGAAGCTCCTTTTTCTACATGTAAATTTCAGATTGGATTTCTGGGGCTTACTGAACTCTGGTGAAGTGAAGTGGAACACCAAATAACTACAATGTCTACTACATATATTCAGTGTATAATGTATCTTACATTGTGTGGAAGAAACAATAACCCCAAGGTTAATTAAAATCAATTATTCTCAGACAGTCCACAATCCTCCAACAGGTGGAGGAGTGAAGACTTTGAGCGTAGTGCGAAAAAACCAGTATCTGGTGGCGGTACATTAACCTTAATGTACCATACTCAAATTCAACAGCAGGATAAGCCAGACAGACAATCCTACATGTATTTCACTCACTCACCCACTATGTACTTTTCAAATGTGTTTGTATTAGTTGTGTGTGATAGTACAATGTACATGTATTTACCCTGGGGAAAATTTCCCTGAGGATCAGACAAAGCAAGGTCACTTGCAGAACAATGCATCCCAAATCAACTGGTATAGTGCACCTGAACATGCACTTGTACATGTATACACTGGACCTGGGTCATGCTATAACAACTATTAAGTGACAATCCCATCTGTGAATACCATCTATAAATTGAAAGCCCTATTCATTTTGAACACATTTACAAGTACATGTAAATATGTAGGTGCTGCATAAAACAAAAAAATATGCATTCTTTTCATTCAATGAACCTACATGTATTTGTAACACGTACGGTATTTCCAGTCCAAAAACCTAAGGTGCAAAGCCAGAGGTCTGATTCATCCATGTATGCTAAAGGCAACGAAGACAAACAATGGATCAATATTTATTCAAGCCATTATGAACATGATGAACGCCTGACTGTCCATGTGTGATATCGTGATCTGCTCACACACAACTGCAGCAAGCCCGCCATCATTAATTATAACAGGTGCAGCAATCTTGGCTGAATCGTGTCCGCCCGTGCATGGTGGGGTCGGCAATGGACAGTGAAAATGGGTGCTGCTCGGGGATGCTACACGTATGACAGCGTCTGTTGGGCACCCCGCCATCAGAGCATGGAGAACGCACGTGCGAGGTATTAGAATATTCACGGTGTCGAATGCATACATGCATACAGTGCACGTACCGGTAGGATGCATGATTTCTGTTAGTGTAGTAGTGCATTTTTCCAACTGACTTAAGTACACATGCTTTTTCACGGGTAAGAACGCGTAACACGTTATCAATGTTGAGAAATAAAACTATATATATCTACAGGCTCAATTTCCAGAACATTCTCACCAGCTGATAAACGCACACATGATGTCATAATAGTAGTTTATGTAAAAATAAACATTCACCTAGCATACGCACAGTGCATTTGGTGTTTTCAAGAACTTCTAGCATTTAAACTACAGTGGCCCTTCTTTTACACGAATTTAACCCCACTCATATTTTATTAAAAGTCCTATGTGGTCAACATTGGAAAAGGGATTAATCAAAATTTAAAAAAAAACAAATAAATTTACACCCCCAAAATGTGCTTCTAACAAACAGTCCACCATCTATTGCAATCATTTCCCAAACCTCATTCATGAAAAAATCCCTCTTCAGATTCTCTCCAAAGGAAAAAAAAAATCAACCATCAAATTGAGGCAGTTTAGTTAAGATTTGTAAATTAGGAAAAAGAAATTAATTAATATGAGGTACTGTACTGTATGTTAACATGCTCACTAGTTACAGTATAATTCCGTTTTTTCTCATTACAATGAATAGTAAATTTGCTTTAAACTAAATGAAATTACACTTACAGCTGAATTCATAACAATTTCTGTTCAAAAAGAAAGTATCCAACATGTATTCATAAACATTATAAATGAACAGTTTTCCCAAGGCCAAACCGCTGCCAGATGACAGCCTCCAATGCCTTGTACCATGGGTTGGGCCATTGTTCTCTTAATATAACGTTCAATAGTGGACGGCCTTTGTGCTGCCCACACAGGCACAGTCTACGCCACTGGTGCTTTGTCCGCTGGCAAGTGTGCGCGCCCTGAGTTGTGGCCCGGCTGCTACTGACCCTGGAATTTCTCAGCTGCGTCGTGGGATGTACATTGTACATGTAGGTCGGCTGAGCCTATACAGCACTCTGCAGTGACGCTAGACCTGTGTACGACAGTCGGTCATCTGCGACAGCTGTTACCTCAAGACTTCTGAATGCTCCTTTCAGAGATAATTTTGTTGTTCTTGTAGGCACTGTTCCACAAATGTGCATGCACTGAACCATGGTCGACATTGATCAGATAAAGCACGAGCTGGCAAACAAAGCATCCAACACCTCTCAGATTCAAATGGATGTGCACTCAACCCACTGTATGACCGTAACAAAGACAATAGCCTGAATAGGAAGTGCATACACATGTGCTTGCGTGTACACATCACAGGTGGCCACTTCGACATGAAAACTGAAAGTGACAATTCAGTAGCAGAGGAATAGAACCTAAAAAAGGTTCAGAGTGAGCATGTGATAACATGTACGGTATCTACATATACATGTACCAGATTTATAAATTACGATTGCTAAAAGCATGCATAAAGGATGTGATGTAATGGACCTACATGCACTTCCTATGCAGTTGCCTTACTGTTACAACATACACTGTACATTTTGTTTTGGAAGCACTTCTGCGAAAATTTGTCTGAAAACATACTGTTACATGTACAAAGTCCATGACCTCAAATTCATTGGAATGGTTTACTCAATACATGAAATGTGGCCTCATGTACTGTACATTGTATTTTTTATCAGAAGATTACGATTGTGAGGAATTTTAAAAATACCATCGTGCAGAGGTTGCTAAAAGATTCTGGTTTTATTGGATTGGTCTGAAAGCAATACATACTGGCATGCATTTGAGCAATGCATGAGCTCCAGTGTGCATTGGTCTGCCTGGAATGGTCTGAAGTACGCATGGCCTGATTTTCATCAGAATGAGCACAAAGCACTACGCACACGCAGTGCATAGTGGTTGGTGGAAATGGCATCCAAGGGTCTACCCACAGTCTCCCTTTGTCATACCTACAGTCTCCCTTTGTCATTTTACCGTACTCTTGTACCGGTGCAGTCCACATAGGCTACGTACAGTGTCACTTTGTCTCAAATACGGCTACATGTACTAGTACATGTACATGTATAACATTGATCGGAACAAAATTGCTGAATGCTCTTAAGTTAGAGCCCAACAGTTGTGCTTCAGGGACATAGAAAAGTTAAACTGAGCTATGACCTATGCATTGTAATATTTTATTAAATCCATGATTTGTACGTATGCCATCACTGTACCATTTCAAGTTGTTTGCAATCTCTCCTTTGATACCATAGCTCAATGAAATGAAACCAACCATTAATGATCATTGCCTGCTACTGTGCAGCTGCTTTTGCACAACGGTGTGAAATCTGACTTCCCTGTTGCCACTCCCAGGGTGTTTGGGGCACTTTGTGCAAACTAACCAATATGCATGCACTTTAGTACTAGTAGTGACGCGACACTGGAAACTGTAATGCAACATGAAGCAGAGATATGAGATCATAAATTTATCATTGTTGTTGCGTACTGTGTAGCATTCAATGTCAGGTAGTAAGTGAAGTCAAGTTTGTAAGATACCTGTGAAGACGTGGAAATCTATGCCATTTCATTTAAATGGAAAATGTTGGGCATAATCTGCACATCAGACTATCAGTTGATTGCAATGTCACTGTGCTATACTGCATGAAATCTTGGACTTACAATGTACTGTAAGTTACATGTGTATGTACAATGTACATGTACATGTAGCTTTCTCTAAGCCATCCTCTAGGGTCAATGCACCATGAATTACACGTACAGAAAACGGGATCAATTGATGGCATCTTTTTAAGCAAGCGTTTTTTTAATCTAATTGTCCAAATTCCCTTTTTGAGGTAGGCATATTTTACAGATTTTTGGATCATTGTAAAACTTTTTAATTGCTAGTTTTTATTGTTTACAATAATTTGTTTTACTATTTTTTATTGTTTTTAGTGTAATTGTATTGTAGTTTTAACCAGTGTCTTAACTTTTTGGAAAGCGCCCTGGAGCACGATTTTATCATGGACGGGCGCTATATAAATACTAACTTATTATTATTATTATTATTATTATCCACCAGTGAGCACACCATTTGCAAATTTACAGCACAGTGCAATGGAGTGATCACATGGATCCAGTGATTTGCGCCTGTCTCATCGTGTCCTTCCAACATCACATTACTCCTTTGGTACCATCCGAAAACCAAAGTATCTACTTGTATACAACATGCATGACTTCTCATTAAGGGCTTACAATGCAGATGAACTGTCCTGTCCACATATTGACCACAGAGGTCTACCAGTACATGTACATATAACTTTGATTGCTTGGCTAACCATGCTCATCCAAGACACTGACAACACCCTCAATACAGTGTCAATTGTCACTAAGCATTGAGAAACTACTGCAGCAGGAAATGAACAGTGCGGTATAAGCCCTGTCATGTCTGTGCAGTATGCTGAATGTGATCGATTGATTAGTGACACTGCTGTGCTATCATTTGCTCTTAAACTTCAGGTACCGGTATGATCTGTTGATCCTTCTTCTGTCAGCTGATCACCTGTTCTTTCTAATTAATAACAGTCATAACAGTTGTGGAAGAACGTTTGGGGAAGAGTTCCATGTTGGACAACCACATTTGGAAAGTGTCACAAACAGGTGTTTTAATGAATCTGGGTCATCTCGTACCCGGGACAACTCATACCCAAGTCAACTCGTGCCCCAGTCAACTCGTACCCCAGTCAACTCATACCCAGGTCAACTCGTGCCCCAGTCAACTAGTACCCCAGTCAACTTGTACCCCAGTCAACTCGTGCCCCAGTCAACTCGTGCCCCAGTCAATTCGTACCCAAGTCAACTCGTACCCAAGTCAACTTCGTACCCTTGCATGTATTATTGTCATCAGTGGATTATCCTAGCAATGGCTGCTTTGCTTGCAAACAATCAATTTTTTAATTAATTTTAATTTATTACATTATACAACCCTCTCCTTCACTTGAAAAAAATCCTTGTAAGTTGGGCCACCGCACGAACCAAATCTTGTCGCGTGCCGGAGCGCAAGTGCTGCACCGGTGCGGCCCGCCTGGCAAAATCAGTTTTGCTTCCGGAGTTGCCTTTGATGGTGCACAGGTCCTACTCTGATCAGTATCCAATCCAAATTTGTGCACGGCTAACAGCCTATGGGAAACATAGGCCGATCCTCCTATGCCCTACCCCTAGAATTCTGCCAGACTCTAGGATTCATCACATGCTCTGTTTTCCTAAGTCAAAAAGGTGGTGCGGCAAACCCCATAGACTTAGGCACAGTCCAATGCTATGGGCAAGCAAGTCAGGTTTTTAAGAAAATGGGATAAACTTGTTGATATTTTCCTTGCTTTATGATGATTGCAAAAATTGTGATGGAACGATATACAAATTTGTTCAAAAACATTTTGAAAAGGGTAGCCGAAGCATGTTAAGCATAATAAATAAATAGAGGCAAACCACCACTGCACCTACCTCCAGAACTGTGGGATCCGACGTCCGCCCCACTCCCACGAACGTTCGTGGGAGCGGAGCGGACGTCGGACCCCACAGACTGGGGGTATATGTACAGTACACTGCACCAAACCCCTACATCTTATTCTCATTAGCTCAGACAATTTGTGTTTATTAATATAGGCCTACCTGCTAGCAAAGTTACTCCCAAGAAGATCTTGAACAGCACTGTTGACAGGGCAATTTTGCCCACACTCAGGATCCCCATGATGGCTGCGAATCCCTCGGGAGCT